TGTGAATCATATGACACCAAGCTGGGGGAGTAGTAGATACGCTGGAGGATAGCACTAAGATTCAGAGACCTAGACCAATTGGAGGATTGGACCAAAGAAAAAAAAAATCTCATGAGGCTCAGTAAGGTCAAGTGCAAAGTCCTGCGTGTAAGATGAAACTATCCTATACGCTGGTACAGGCTGGGGACTGACAGGCTAAGCAGTAGCTCTACAGAAAAGTATCTTGGGGGTTACTGAATATGCTGAGTAAGTGTGCCCCTGTTGTGAAGAAAGCTAATGGTATACTGTGCTGCATTAGTAGGATTGTTACCAGCAGATTGAGGGGAGTGATTATTCCCCGTGTTCACCACTGGTGAGGCTCCATCTGAAGTACTGTGCCCGGTTTTGGGCCCCCCTATACAGAAAGGATGTGGCCAGATTGGAGTGGCCAACATAGAGGTCAGTGAAAATAGGAGATTGCCTACTTCTCTCCACGTCTTAGTGTCATCCGTGAATTTGAACAAGGTGCTTTTCACCCCCTCGTCCAAATCGCTAATAAAGAAATTGAACAGTATGGGCCCGAGGACTGAGCCCTGGGGGATTCCACTGCCTGCATCCCTCCAGGTAGACTATGACCCATCCACCACCACTCTCTGGGTGTGGCCCCTCAGCCAATTTGCGATCCATCTGACTGTGTAGGCATCAATGCCACAGTCGCCTAGCTTTTTAATGAGAATGGGGTAGGAGACAGTGTCAAAGGCCTTCCTGAAGTCCAGAAAGACTACATCCACCACAGCACCTGTGTCCAGTGATTTTGTGACCTGATTATAGAAGGCAGTCAGGTTGGTCTGACAGGACCTGCCCGTAATGAACCCATGCTGGTTGCCCCTGAACATCATCCCCCGTGCTGGTCCTTCACAGATATGCTCCTGGATAATTTTCTCAAAGAGCTTCCCCAGGATCGAAGTAAGACTAATGGGCCTATAGTTGGCTGGGTCCTCCCTCCTCCCTTTTTTGAAAATGGGGACCACATTGGCCTTCTTCCAGTCTTCTGGCACCTGGCCAGAGCACCACAAGTGCTTGTAAAGCTATGCCAGGGGGCCCGCAACGACCCCTTGCTAATTCCCTCAGCACCCTGGGGTGGAAAGCATCTGGACCTGCTGACTTGAACAAGTCCAGCCCCTCCAGAAGTTCCCTAACCTGGTCCTCCCCGACCCTAGGCCTGTCGGAGTCTCTCCTGAGTCCGTCCTGAATCCCAGTGGGGGAGATGTCCCGGTCCCTGCATACAAAAAAATGGAGGCAAAGAATTTGTTAAAAAGGTCTGCCTTTTCCTCTGGTGCAACCACCAAATTGCCAAGCGTATCCTGCAGGGGCCCCACGTTACCTGGTGCCTTCTTCATACTCCCTTTGTATTTAAAAAAGGACTTTTTGTTGTCCTTGATGCAAGCCCTAGTTCCGTATCTGCCTTAGCTTTCCTAACAGCCCCCTACAGAGCCGAGCAATGGAGGTATACTCCTCTTTGGTGATAGCCCCTCTCTTCCACTGGGTGTACACCTCCTTTTTGGCTTTCAGGTGTTCCTGATTGCCTTTGGCGAGCCAGGGCAGGATTTTGAGCACTCTTGCCCCCTTTGATTCTCATTGGGACTGTCATTTCTTATGCTCGGTGATCGTCTCCTTAAGGACCAACCACTCATCTTGGACACTCAGTTCCCCTACCCTGCAGGACCCCAGTGCCCCTCCTACCAATCTCCTCAACTCGTTGAAGTTGGCCCTCTTGAAGTCAAGGGCTACTGCCTTGCTACAGGCCCTTGACATCCTGCGCTGGATGGTGAATTCCAGTAGGCTATGATCACTGTTGCCCAGATGGTCAAGAACCTGGAGTCTCCTCACCAGGTCATCGCCTGTGGCCAGGACCAGGTCCAGGTCCAGCAGGGCATTCCCCCTGGTGGGACTGTGTACCTCATGGGTTAGGTGGAGGTCCTGTATCTCAGCAAGGAACCTTCTTGAGCGGTCAGACCACTCAGTTCATACCAATTATGTTGTCCTGCTTTTTCTACTCCATTTGCAGATGGGGAGGATCATTCAGATTCTTAGCTAATGTAAAATGTCATTGCTGCCTTAAAATTAGTGTACCACTATTTAAAAAACTGTCAATGGGCTGGCTCAGGTAACTAGGCTATATTTAGCCTGATACCAGTTCTGGGCAAAATCATGGAAAGCATGACATGAAGAACACTTGGACAGTCTCTTCAACTTACTGTAGATAAGGCTGAGAGATGACTATAAGATATTTTAGAGATTGAGGGGACTTTTCAATCTTCATGGCTTAATAAAATCTAAAGAGTGAAACAGAATGTTAAACAAATACAATCTTGAAATAAAATTAAATGTCCTGGCAGTTAGGTAATTAAACATGGAGCAAGTTTACCAGGGAGGGTGTCAAGTTTACCACTGCTTAGATTTTTAGGCAAGTTTAGATATCCTTCTAGTGCTAGGTAAAGGTATCTAAATTAATTCAGGTACTCAAAGCAGTATAGTTAACACTGTTTTCCACTTGAGGTAAGATACCCTGCTTTCCGACTGGGCTATCCAGTCCAGGCAGAGTACTGTGCAAGCACAGGAAAATAAAATACAACATCATCTCCAATAAGTATGCAGATGGGTCAGATGTTAGTAGGTTTGTAAATACTGATTAAGATAGATCAGTTGTTCATGTGGGATCATTTGAACAGCATGTGCTTTAACACAGTCAACATAATGGGAATTTTGTCTAAGTAACTAAATAATGTTTTCAGGACTTAGTGTGTGTGTGTATGTGTGCATATGTGTAAACGCATGCTTTAATGCTGGGAAACGTCCACCACTTCATAAAACGAATTACTTTAAAATGTACTCTTACTTTTTGCAAGTTAGCAGAATTTTCTTTTAAATCTTATGATATAGTAGAGTTGTTGAATTTGTTTTGTGGATTCTGTGTATTGTGAAAAAAATCAACAGTAGTCAAGTATTTATATATTTTTAAAGCTTAAAAATATGAATTGCTTTGCTCTGAAAATACTGTTAATAGTTTGGCTTGTTTCTTCTTTTTATTGTGAGATTGGGAGAAAAGCATAGGTGGGAGAGAGCTATTACCTTTCACAATATGAAAACAAGATATACCATAGATATTCTAGAATATCTATGGGGTTGATGTTCATGGAGGGTGAAAACAGTTCATTGTGTAGGAGTCCAGCACAAGACTTTCTTCACATCACTTAACCCTGGCATAGAGTCTGTACAAAGCTACTGAAGATTGTGTGAGGATTGCTGATCTATTTTTAACTGGCACAGACGGCTGAGGAGAAGTCACACAGAACTGGTAGCCACCAACACAGCAGGCGTTAAAGGACTGCATTGTTAGAAGTATGTCTTTAAATATCTGTCTCCCACTGTGTTATGAGTGCTATTTCCTTTCAGAGGCTGAGATATAAGGAAGAACTTCTTTACTGTCCGAGCCCCTAAGGTTTGGAATAGACTGCTGCCGGAGGTGGTTCCAGCACCCACTTTGAATGCCTTCAAGACACATTTGGATGCTTATCTTGCTGGGATCCTATGATCCCTGCTGACTTCCTGCCCCTGGGGCAGGGGCCTGGACTCTATGATCCTCCGGGGTCCCTTCCATACAGAATGTCTATGAATCTATGAGTATGATCTTAAAAGTTCTGTGCCCCAACCCTATGCTGGAGGATGGATTTTACTCTGGGCATTCCTCCCACGTAGAAATTATTGGGGAATTAAGTAGGGGCAGTGGATTTTACAAAAGCAGAATAGAACATTTAAAGGCATTTATCCATAAGCTTTTAATATCCTATGTTCGCATTCTTTCATTGCAGATTTGGTTCTGAAGAGCTGAAACAAGAGTTCCTTGTACCAAGTATAGCTGGCGATGTTGTGGCTTGTTTGGGAGTCAGTGAAACTGGCGCAGGGTCAGATGTTGCAAGTAAGTATGCTCATTCTAAAGTACGCATTCTGAGCCAGTCTTACCGGCCCATTGGTTAAAGTGTTAGACTCTGGGTGCACTAACAATTCCATTATTACTAACACCTAGTGATGGCATTGGTGAGAACTACGTGGAAAACCAACATGTGGACAGGGTCAGAAAGGACAAAACAAAATAATACTCAAAGATGTGATGCAGTGTTTCAACTTGAAGGGATCAAAATGCATTAATTCAGCTCTTGTAGAATTTCTAGTCATTGCCTGTATATTAGACCCAGGGGAGCATATTAATACTCAGTACAATCAGCTATCACTCACATGGAAGTCTGAGCCAAATTCAGCAGAGATGAAAATAGTAGTACAAATAATATTTAGATGAACTAGTCAGAAATAGCTGCTAGTAATAAAATGGTGCCACTCAGGGGTGGGTAAAATGTGGCCTGCAGGCTGGATGCAGCCCGCCAGGCTATTCTATCTGGCCTGCAGGGCCCCCCAAAATTTAGAAAATTAGTATTTATCTGCCCCTGGCTGCCTGTCACGTGGCCCTTGATGGCTTGCCAAAACTCAGTAAGTGGCCTTCCACCCAAAATAATTGCCCGCCTCTGGTGTAACTTGTACTGTTTTGTCATTTAACGGGTGTGTGAAACAAGAGTGATTTACTTAGTAGTGTAAGAATGTTGTAGCCATATTGGTCCAGCAATTATATGAGAGGAAAGGATTTCGTAGGGCAGTGATATCTTTTATTGAACCAACTATTTAGTTGGGATAAGAGTTAGATTACATAGGTGGTCCAATAAAAGATATGACCCTAAGAAATCCTTACTTATATCAGGGAGAATAAAAGAAAATGCAGCTAACAAGAGATGAGGTAAGGCAGGGAAGTACCACTCTTAGCACTGATGAATTTGGCCCATTGTTTTTAAGAAAAGTATACAGTAGGGCAGGAAGTCAGCTGGGGTCATATGATCCTAGCAATATAGGCATCCAAGTGCTTCTTAAAGGTATCCAGAGTAGGTGCTTATATAATCACTATGCTGATCTTTTCTTCCACTCCCTCTAGGATTTCACTATGGTGTCTCCTTATGGTATACGGGTGCTGATTCGATTTGGAGGAGATTTGTCCCGATTCAGTGGATGAATGTCTGAAGCCGAATCGAATCAGGAGACCAATTTAAAGTTCCAAATCAATTTGAAGCTCTCCAAATAAATTCTGAACAGATTCGGAGAGCTTTGGAGAGTCAGGCAGTTCTCGCGAGCTGTTGCAGGGAGCTGGGCCCAGACTCTATGCTGGTAAGAACGGGGTGGGGGAGGGGGGACTGGAGGAGAGTGCAGTGGACCATGAGGGGTACCCCTTCCAGGCCCCATCCCCTGCCTGCTTCCCCAGCCCC